ATCCTCCTCTCGAATTGAGGATCAATTGTATCTTTGTAGTTTTCTTCTTCTTCTAGTGAAATACAAGCTTCTACTTGTGTTTTTCTCTACGTTTTCCCTGTTTCCTGCTGTTTTTTTTGCTGTGGACAGCAGTTTTGCTATTGGTTTTTACTAATTTGGGCTAGGAATACTTGTGATATAAGTACTTCCTATCAGTTTGCCAAACCACATGCATTGTTATCACTTGTGGATGGTTATGGTCTAAGTTTCATCATTGAAAAGGACTGAGCAAGTTGTTTTGTTTGACAACAGTTTATCATCAGTACCCAAGGTTTGTGGCAGACCAAAGATTGATTCTTTGCAATATCGAGTGGAGAGTATGGTATCTTTGTCAAAATCAATTGAGGAAGAAAAATACTGAAAGAAAATAAATATTTTATAGAGTCTGTTTTATCTATTTTATGAATCAAAACTATTTTTTAGGGTAAGTTAGAAAGTGTTTTGATTTATTAGAAAATGTTTTGATTTATTAGAAAATGTTTTGGGAAGCTTAATCTAGTTTTTGGGAAGAAAGCAAGCAACAGGAATCACAACAATATCTATCGGGTCCAGGGGGAAGCATATAGGACTGGTGGAGCTTAACGAGTCACTGCAATAAAGGAATGGGGATCGGATGCTGTAGACCAGAGAAAGTTTGATGCCTTTGGACAGGCATAATGAATGGAATATGTATTTTGATTATTATTCATCACAACATTGTCATAAAAATACGAAGTAATATTTCAAATCGATTTGAAAACACAATTTGGACTCAATAGAAGTGAAATCAATGGTTATTAGTGTATATAAATTTATTAATTTAAATCTCATAAATATAATAAAATCAACTTAATATAAATAATTGAAAATATGTCCAAAACGAATTTGGACTTTTGCAATGCAAAATTCAATAAGTTTTAGGTACTAAACATTATTTTTGGTGAATTTAGGAATAATTAAATTGGATTTTGGCTTTTTGGGAGAGCATAAGACAAAATTGCAAGCAAACAACCTAAGACCTCAAATGGTACAAACAATCTCTATTGACCTGGAAACCAATTTTGGTAGCTTCTATGGTCGTCATGTCATTTGATGTGTTTGATTGGAACTTATGTCAGCCATGCCATGATTTCTTTTGTTTGACTGACTATTCAACTAGTGAATGGGGCGAAAGATGAGTTAATCTTCTCACCGTTGATTTAGGTTGGGTGACTGTGATTGAGTCATAGTGAAGGATGGTTCATTGAAACTTCTTTCTTAATCAAGCATACCGTATTTGGTCTGAGGGTTATTCCCTAGTCCTTATATGTATGTTGCATGCAATTGAGGTGTTGATGTTGTAACAACTTCGTAGCGATCTTAACTTAATCAAAGAATTACTGGTGCTCAATTAATGGGATACACTACGGCTTTGTTTGAGACGGTTTTTTTACTGCTTCTTAAAGCAGCTTTCTAGTACAACAAATAAAATTTTTATACTAGAAAGTTACTTTAAAAAGCAATAAGAAAACCGTCCCAAACGAAGCTTAAGTTGTTGGATTCTGATTACTGGCAGTTGTTTGCCATCCTGGAGCTTCATCAGTATGCCTTGAACTGTCTTCATGCCCCTTTTTGAACGACATCTTAAGAAGATAAGCTGGATTTGCTAGAATTATGTTTCAAACATTCTTTGAGTTTTTCAAAGATGTTGAGGGTCATAAAAGTTGGTTGGGATAGGATGACTAGATGAGTGACAAGGTTAGGAAGGTGAATTTATTTAAACTTCTTCTTGACCATTTTTAGTTTGATGGTTCATTAGATTTGCCTTTTAGTATTTATTTTATATTAGTTTTCACTCCAGTTTCATGAGATCTCTCTAGATGATGCAACCTATGGTTGTTAAAAGGGAGGCAGCTAGCAACTATGTAAACTTCATTCATCTTAGTTCTACTTAATTAGTAGTGATAATCAACCCAAAATGACTATGTAAACTAATGAATTACATGACGTGAAAACATCAAATGCTGAATTACACGTATTACTTGATCCCAATTCACCTTTTTTTTATTTTAAAAATTCAAACCCCACGTCACCTGATGAGCAGCATGAAAGGATCAAGAAAAGCAGTATTTGCCAATTTTCAAAGCATCATCATATCGAAATATTGTTGAAAGCATGAGATCCCGCACCACATCCAAATTTCTTGGGAAGAGACTTTTATCAAATCTTTAATTCAACTAGGGATTTGTTTGGAACGGCTTTCTTCCTGCTTCTTAAACCTGCTTTCTAGTTAAAAAGTTAAAATTTTTGTACTAGAAAACCGCTTTAAGAAGCAGTAAGAAAGTCGTCCCAAATGAAGCCTAAATATGATGAAGAGATCAAACAAACAACTGCTCAGCAGTTTTCACAGAATGAGGGAATCAAACAAGCAAATGCTCAGGAAATTTCACATAATCATCAAACTGAAAAAAAAAAAAAATCAGGGATTCAGCATCCATTCTTCTTTCCAAAGCATGTATGTATGTACACTTTCTGTTGCTCTAATCCCTTTTGAACATGTAAAAGTAGGTTTCACTACTCCTAGCTCCCTCTTATGCCATTTGATCCATTCATCACCAATAAATTGACGTTTTTCTGTTTTTTGTTGTTCTTCACCATGTTTATTGACATATTGGAAGGTTTGTATTCCTTTTAAGAAATATAGTTTATTGCTCCTTGTACGCCATAATGACATCCTCATTAGCCAGAATCATCTTTTCTAATGATTGAAAATTGATTCATCTAATTTAGTTGACCTCTTATAGTTAGGGTATGAATGATAATGATTGTTCATTTAATTTATTGAATGCGTATAAATGATAACATATTTTGATTGATTGTAAATAAATGCTTTTAATGACACTGACAATGTCAAATCCGAATATTTAGGTACGTGATCATTGGTAATCATCGTGATGCATGGACATTTGGAGCAGTCGACCCAAACAGTGGAACTGCTGCTTTGCTTGAGGTAGTTCAATTCAAGTAGATGCTTCATGCTTTAGAGCATTATATTGGATGATATAGGTTCAGGGTGAAATACTCGCAAAATGATCCTTGCAATTGACTAGCCTTCAAATAAATGGAACATGAAAATTAAAACATTATTAATTCATTTGGGATTTTAGGGTTTTCTAACATTATTCATGCAAAATGTTAGATTTTTCATCAAACATTCATGAAAGCGATCTTACAAAATTAAAACTGAACTCTATAAAAGTCATTTGAGTCAAAGATAAGGATTACTCATGGAAACCTAACCATAAAAAACAAAGAAACTTGCAAGAGATGGGTTTTCCTTTATCCATACAAATCCTCTTTTTTATAGCAATTTTGGATTCCCTGTTATACTTGCTTCGAAAAAAACATCTCTACTTTGTAAACAAGTTCAAAGAAAGGGCTATAAAGAAAAGTAAGAGATAATGGATCAAAATACAGGGAGAAGAACTGAATCAGTGGAGTGTTCCCATCAGTTCTTTCCAATTTCATATATAAGAGAAAAAAAAATATTCATAAAATAGAATTATGGCATCTATATGATAAGCAGAAAGGAGAAAACTACTCCTATGTACAATGATGAGAAGGATCAAAATGGACTCTCAACTCTTTGTGAGGGATCACAATGGTCCCAACTCTTATGAGGGACCAATTTGGTCTCTCAACTCCTCTAAATGGGACCTATTTGGTCATGCCATCTAATGGTAAAGTTGATGGTGTTAAGTATGAAGGTAATTTAGTCATTTTTAATTAAAATATTTAATAAGTATAATTTTTTAGTGTAATTGTATTAATAATTATCTAATTAATTAGTTAATTTTTAAATAACTAATTATGTAATTAATACTCATACTAATGAATTATTTAATTTAAAGTATTATATAATTAGTTTAATTGTTAATTATCTCATTAATCTTGGGTTTACTTTTCATCTTCTCAATTTTGCTTTTTCCTCGCCATTTTGTTATGCCTGTTTCGACCTTGTGTGCTTCGCCTGAAGTGAAGTTTGACTAGTTGAAGTAGTGTGTTGAAATAGTCACTAAATAAGCTTCTTCGCCTCCTTCGACAACATCGGTGTGGGCTCTGAAAATTCGCGCCCGGCCTCTCCTTTTTCGGGAGAGTTTTAACGAATTAAGTTCCGAGATAAATTTTTAGAAGGCAGATTGGATTGAAATAATACACTACCCAGAGATTGTAACTTGCCCGAAGACGACAGTAGAAAGCCCATAATGCATACAGTTATCCTACATACAAGCAGATATAGTGAATGTATTGCAAGTGCTGTGGATCCTTTACAGGCATAAGTAAGAAGATTTGCAGCAAGTGCGACAAGCTGCCTTCGGGTAAAAGCAATGAGCCTGTGATAAATGCAAGCATCTACGAGCAACTGTAGGAAATTCGTCAGTGCATGATAGTTCGTCTACAAGAAGCAACAAGCAACTTATAGCGCAGCGCAATGCCACCAGATCTGCAACATTTATACAAGCGATTAGAAGGCTATATCTTTATGATGATACTGAAAATACACTTGAAAATAAAACATGCATGTGCTCCAACAAATGCGATAAATTTGCAAACGCCAATGTCTGAGAATGTTGCGCGGTTAAATGTTCAAGCTTCATTCTCCTCCATAAAAGAGCTAGAGTTAACCTGACTTGAATCATAAAATGCTTTCCAAATTCCTACAAAAATAAAAGTGATTTTAATATTACCCCGATGATGGTCATGTTGATTGCAAAGAAGTAACTTCCTGATATCATATGGTCACTATATAATGAAAGAACTATCACTTGCGTTGCCTGCCTAGAAGTAACTTCCTGAGAAAAAGGAGTTAATAGTACTGAAATTAAATTGGAATACATTCCAGAAAACAGAAAAATCTTTTGCCTGCTAGATAGCTACTTTGCCAGTGTTTTTCCTATGCCGTGTTTCTTAGGTCCTTTTAATTGGTGATTGTTATAAGTTGACCACTTCAGTTGGCCCAAAGATTGGAAAAGTTGCAAAACAGAGGCTGGAAACCACGAAGAACCATTGTTATTTGTAATTGGGATGCGGAGGAGTATCACCTGGTTAGTCTCTTTATCTGTCTTCCGCTTCCTTCCCTTCCAATGTAGTTTTTCACTGATACTAAAATCTTCAACCTATGTATTTTTTCTGCAGCTAGGTTCAACCGAATGGGCTGAAGATAACAGAGAGATATTATCGTCTAGGGCTGTAGCATATTTAAACGTAGATTGTGGAGTATCGGGTCCTGGGTTTCATGCCTCTTCAACCCCTCAACTTGATAAACTGCTCAAAGAGGCATCCAAGAAGGTCTTACTATGTTATTTCTGTTCATAGAATAACATTTCAGAGTTTAATTTGAGCAGCATTGAGTATCATTACCCTTTGAAATTGAACGATATACTTGTCGCGAATTCTAATTTTGTAGGTTCAAGATCCTGATAACTCATCTCAGACTCTGTACGATTCATGGGTTACTTCTGATTCTCCTCTGGTGAGTTCATGACTGCTCAGTTCATGCAAACATTAAATGATTTTTTTGCATGATTAGATAGGTAAATTCTTATTAGTTTTCCACCTTGATTTAGGTCTCGTTTGGGACGACTTTTTTACTGCTTCTTAAAGTGATTTTTTAGTACAAATTTTGTTATTTTTTACTAGAAAGATAATAATTGAAGACTGTCTTTTCTTTCACTTATGAGCTTGTAACAAGAAATAATAATGTATTTTAACTGAATATTAAATTTGCTGAACTCTCTATTGAAGGTAGGAAGGTTAGGTGGTGATGGAAGTGATTATGCGGCTTTTGTTCAACATATTGGCGTGCCTTCAGTTGACATTAGGTTCGGACGAGGTATCCATAATTTTCTCTAATAATTTTTATTATTACAGTGAAGTCGGAAGAGACTGACTTAGAAATAGGTTTTTTAATGAAACTAATATGATGCATTATATGGATTCAGGTAAAGGAATTTGAAGGTTCACCCATTGAAAACCACAAATTAAATCAACAACTTAACTTTTATTTTTAATATAAACATTTAATATTAGAATTATAATTTTAAATAATGACAAAATGATTAAAATAATTTGAAATAACTAGCAAAAAATAGAATCATGTGATATCATTTGAACAATTGTGATTTAATTCCACAAATAAAATTTCAGTTGTGCCAAGTTTAAACAAAATTGTGAGCACTAATAAGCTAATATCAAATTATTATTATTCTGAGGGATCTTTTATTATTATTTTGGTATGTTGTTTTGTGTTATTCTTGATGGCAGTTTTAGGTGTCTAAGGCTTCGTTTGGGACGGCTTTCTTACTGCTTCGTAAAGCAATTTTTTAGAATAAACATTTTATTTTTTATGCTAAAAAGTTGGTTTAAAAACAGTAAGAAAGCCGTCCCAAACGAAGCCCAAATTTAACCTTTAAACGATTTGTAGGTTATCCTGTTTACCACTCCATGTATGATGACTTCGTGTGGATGCAAAAGTATGGGGACCCACTCTTCCATAGGCATGTTGCAGGTAATTTCTTAGGGATTGATTGGGATCATTTTTAATTTTTATTTTTTTATTGTATTTTAAATGCATTAATTTTTTTTTAACAAATTAAGTTAAAAAAAATCAAAATAAATTTGAGATGTTTTTACTCTAGCCATCTTTACCTCGTTGGCCGTCGTTATCCGCCGGCAACCACTATTGCGCTACCGACGATCATCACCACCATCACCACCATCATATAAATTAACTAAATTTATATTCATTTAAAATAATAATGTATTTTTAATATATTAAACTATTTTATTTCATTATAAAATATAAAAAAAAATGGCCCTTGCATTCTTAATTAGCGAGTATATTGCATCACGCTGAAGATTTTGGCTACAGGAAATTCCTCTGGCTTGCTCTTTTGTTTGCGAGTTATTTACTTTGTATGATACAACATTTATTTTGATTCTTTAATGCCTCAATTTTGAAAATGACAGTCTAACTATAATTCTACTTTTTTCCTTACAGCTGCAAGCATTTGGGGACTGGTTGCTTTAAAACTGGCAGATGAGGAGTTCTTGCCTTTTGATTATATGTCCTATGCTTCTGAGCTCCAGGTAAATTTCCTATAACTTGCAGATGCCATTGTAGGTCATCCACGCAAGTACGATGCAACTTGTTGATGGGCGTTGATTTAGGCTTTGTTTGGGACGAATTTCTTATTGTTTCTTAAAACAACATTTTGATAAAAAAATTTAATTTTTGTACTAAAAAGATGCTTTTGCGCACTAAGAAATTTTGCACACACAAAAAGGGTGCTTGAAGCTATTTTTTTTTCCAGAAATGAAAGACCTCAAATTAGGAGAACATTTGATTTTGTAAAATGACTTCTGGATAATTGTATTGTATTTGAAAATGACTGTCAGTTTATTTTTTTCTTCTTAGGAGAAAATTACACTTGGTTAGAAAATATTAGGAATGACCTTTCTTTATTAGATTTAAACGAGAATTTGACTTTTAATAGAACACAATGGAGAAAAAGGATTCATGTAGCCGACCCCACGTAGTGGGATAAAGGCTTGATGTTGTTGTTGTTGTTGTTGTAGGAGAAAATTACACTTGTCTTGTCTTTTATGATCAATTGTCCTGCTCTTATGATCATTTGGCTTGCAGTTCCAATGCAAATTTTTATTTTTTGGACATTTAGGCCATTTAAGGCAAACTCACACACACAACGCATACACATAGACTCGAATCCTAGACCTCTTAGTTGGAAGCCTAAGCTCTCAACCAATAGGCCAAGGAGAGTTGTGTCCAATGCAAAAATACTTCGGGGCTTTTTGACCCAATTTTCTTTTTCAAAAACTGTCTATTTTAGGCAAAATGATCGCGTCTGACATCATTTGCAAGTGCATTCTATGTTCATGGCAATAGGATTTTTTTAGTTTTTTTTTTTTATCTATTCAGTTTTATTTTGTAAAACAGCAAAGAGCGAAGGTGTTGGAAAACGAATTGCTTGGAAAGCCAGTGAGTTTTTCTTCTTTATACAAATCTATAGAAGATTTCAAAAATGCTGTTGCAAAAGTTAACAGCCAAATGAAGGTACCTCAATGCTTTCTTATTCTTCTACAAAGTAAATTTGTTTTTTTTTTTTTTTTGCTTGTTACAAGTTTCATTGCCTGAAAACTTGATACTTCCAGGAATTAGAAAGCAAGGTTTGGTTGTCAAAATGGAAGAAAGAGCCAGTTAAGGTTCGGGAGCTTAATGATCGGCTAATGTTGACAGAGAGGGCATTTACTGATCGAGAAGGCCTATTTGAAAGGCCCTGGTACAAGCATCTGGTACATTGATTATGACTTCATTTGAGATGGCTTTCTTCCTGCTTCGTAAAAAAACTTTTTAGTATAAAAATTTTAATTTTTGTAATAAAAACCTGCTTAAAGCTGCTTTAAGAAGCAGTAGGAAAGCTGCCCCAAACGAAGCCTATATTACATACTTTAAGAAGCATTTAGGATTACTGGAAATAGATCTTCTAATATGGATTCAATTCTCAGATTTATGGGCCATCACAGCATAATGGATATGGATCAGAATCATTTCCTGGCATTGATGATGCCGTTAAGAAGGCAGAAACTTCAAACACATCATCTTCGTGGCAATCTGTACAGCACGAAGTTTGGAGAGTTGCTAGAGTAATCACTCAGGCTTCCCATGTTCTTAAGGGGGAGCTTACATGATTGCATGCTCTTAGACAGTAAGCAAAATTTATAAATATGTACTTAAAAAAACAGAGGAAAACATAGTGTGCTATATTTTTTCTCCTTGTAATCTTGGCAATTGGGGATGATAAGGATCATTTTCCTGTAGTAATAAGCTCATGGCAGCCATCATTCCGAAATTTTTAGTTTTAAAATCTATGTTAATACCTTTGTGTAACATGCTTTTTTATTGTGTGCTGAGAGATTTCTAGAAAGTATTAGTATTTATATCTTGAGCTTAAGCTTTTGATGATCAACAACATGGTTTGATATAAGCTTATATTATTAATTTGATTTATGTTGGTATGAATATGCATATTTCAGGTGAAGGTTGACAGGGCAAATCATGAATAAAATATACTATGGGGTACATAAATGATTCAAAAGAAGGCAATAATTTGAATATTTCGAGATGCCTTGAGTTGATTTAAGGTTAGAGCTTCCAGATGCAAATCGTTTTATTTATTTTTTGAGCCTCATCCTATTGTATTTTTCAAGTGTTGAAAATGGTAAGATTATCAGTGCACTCTAAAATATTGAGTGCAAATTAAAAGTTTATATGGGATGGCTTTCTTATCATTTTGTAAAGTTATTTTTTATATAAAAATTTCTTAAAAGGAGAACAAAAGTAGTGGTTTAAAGTTATTAGTTATGAATTTTTTTAATGTTTTTTAATACAAAAATGATTAAAAAGTTGCTTTAAGTAAGAAAATTATTTTAGGTGAAGCCTAAATCTAATATTTAAAAAAATATCTTCAATTGATTTTAGTTGATTGTATTGTTTGATTTGTATCATATTGTTTGGTAGTTTGAACTTGGATTGATTGAAACAAGCCTCTGGCTCGATCCTCAAAAAATTTATTCAGGGTGTTTTTGGGTTTGCTGAGAGAGACTATTTAGTAGATTTTTTGACTTTGTTGTTAGCATTTATTATTTTGAGATTTGAAATACACATGTGGGCGGACGGGAAATTAAAATACACTTGGGCAGCTAACTTACACCCCTTGTAATATTCAGAAATTTCCGTTGGGTAGTGAGAGAGGCGGTTAGTGCATTATGGGGTCCACTCCTTTCTTCTTATCCGTGCGTGGAAATTCCGTAAGCCACAAAGGAAAAATCGGGAGAATTTTTTTGGAAGGCATAGTGCAGGAATCACCGGGAATGGGTTCGACACAGGGATTGAAGGCTTTGTAGCATAAATCGGCTAAAAGAAATTCACTTGTAACATTTAATGTTATACCAATTATAATATAAATGATTATGAAACCAAACAACAGACAAAAAAATATATATATATGATATATGATTATGGAAAGAATGTGAATATTAATTTAATGTAAGGCTTGATTATATATGATGGATGTCTTACTAGTGTAGTTGGGACAAAATGATTCTCATACAATATGGTCGGATAAAAGAGACTATAGAATATTATACTTGTATAGCAGGTGGAGCAAAAGGGACCCCTAAAGAGACGAAAGGGACTTCTATGTAATTCATGTTGATAATGCAGGGTTTATCTGGACTCCATTGAATATTGTTAAGAAAGTGTAGTTAAATCTTTTACTGATTAAAATTGATATTTAGTATAAACTCCAAAAGAGATAAAAAATCATGTTAATTATGTTTTAAAAATATTTTTACTGATAATTTCTATGTTTTTATTTATTACTATTATTGTCTTTTAATTGTTAATTAAATTGCATAATCTATTAAGCCTCATAGCTCAACAGTATTTTTTTAATAGCTGTTGTTATATGAAAGGGAAAGGAGAATATTGTTGCATGTTAATTTTACAAGTTATTTCTTCTTTTATATTAAGGTTATCTTTATTAGTGAGTCTACTTGTGAGGTATGAAAATATTTCAGAAATGAAATTTATTTGGATTTTCTTAGTGGCACTATAAATATGTTTATTAAAGTTTTAATTTATTAGTTGTTTATGTTAATGTATCAATTGAAATATGGTTGGATGTTTTATATGAATTTTCAATGTGAGAAATTGTATTAAATGTTTTAAAAGAAAAAAAAATATTATGTTATGTATGTTACCCTCTACAGTACTATTAAGAAGTATTGTTGGGTGTTACATATTACATCCCTAACCCAAATCAAATCTATTTAAAAAGCGGGTTGAAAAAACCCAATCCCATCCCATCCCTTTATTAAACAGGTTTGAACCCAAATTTTTAGGGTCAAATTCCAATCAAATTGAAGGGAGGGGTTATTTTTTGACACCCCTACTTTGTAATTAGAGAAACATTTCTCCCACAAATCAACTCCATATCTTCCTATGTGGACGCTTTGATTGGGTTTCCCCTCAAGAGAAGATCATCTCACCTATTTATTATGAACCCCTCCTTTCTCTTTGGAGTTACCGAAGTACTTCAAACCAAAGGGTCTCATTCCTAATTTTCAGGAGTCAAGACCAATATAATTAAGGCATTCTAATGATATTGCACTAAGTTTAATACTCTTGATTAAAGAAATTAATGAAAGTATTAACACATGACAAACATGATTATCAAATTAAATGATAATATAAATTCAAGATCAGACAAAATTTTTAAATCGCCAAGTGATGAAAATCATAATGATGAGTACATTAAACAAATGATTAATATAATAATATTACAAATAAATTTTAACATAATAATTAACATAGAATAATTAAAATAAACAATGAATCAACTCAAATAAATTCTCAAAAGTCAAAATATTTTTTTGTAGGTTCCAAAGTATCTTTTTGATGCGTCATCAAAAAATTATGTTAATCGGACACGAATCTCGAGGCATAATCAAGTTGTGAACTTCTGAAATTAAAATCGGAATCATATGAACTCTGATTTCAGCAAAGTTATAGTCGAACTGAACATCTTGGAAATACAAACCCAACGACACCAAATTCGACTCAATCCGAGCCCAGATGGATCCAAATCAAGGACCTAAAGCAGTGTTGGAAGGTTCGTACCACAATTTGAGTTATCAAACGGTTTTCAAACTTGAAGAGCTTATAGTCGAATCGAGCGGCTCAACGAGACGAATCCAACGAGCCTAAGATCGCAAAATTTTGACTTCATTAAGGCCTTCAAATGTCTGACGAACAATACACGATCAAGGGATTCAATATCGACCGTCCATCCAACCACTCCACATTTACCCTTGATCTCTTGCCTATTTACAGGCCATGCCACTCCAAAAAATCTATAACTAGACCCCTCATTTCTCTTGAAAGGGGATTGAAGGAAGAAGAGAAGAGGAGAAGAGAAGGAAGAAGCTCCTCCTCGACCACCATTGGAGTTTCGCCGGACCTTCGCCGGACTACCACCTGTGGCCATCACCTCCGTCGGACCACCACTTGAGGCCCTCACCTTCGCCGGACCACCGCCTGACGTCGTTACTCCGTCAGACCACCACTTGAGGCCCTTACCTCCACCAAACCACCGTCTGACGCTGTTGCTCCGCCGGACTACCACCTGAGGCCCAAACTTCTTATGAACCACCACTTAAGACCCTGTGCTCCACTAGGCCACCACCTGATGCCCGAACTTCTTCTGAGCCGTCACTTAAGGCCTTGTGCTCCACCAGGACACGACTTGATGCCCGGACTTCTGTCGGACCACCACCTAAGGCCCGGACTTCTGCTGGACCACCACTTGGGGCCCTGTGCTCCACCAGAACATAACTTGAGGCCCGGACTTCCATCGACCAACTACTTGAGGCCATGTGCTCCACCACAACATCACCTGAGGCCCGGACTTCCACCGGATCACTACTTGAGGCCTTGAGCTCCACCAGGCCACCACTTGACACCCAGAATTCTACCAGAGTACTGCCCTACTACAACGATCTTACATACCCTAGTCTCCTGCCAACTACGGTCTTTCTAACCCGATCTCCTACCGACTACGATCCTTCTGACCTCCGTCGCCTACTATGGTCCTTCCTACCTCCATCAACAGACAACGGTCTTTCTGACCCCGGTCTCCTGCCAACTACGATCCTTCTGACCTTCGTCGCCTACTATGGCCCTTTCGACCTCCATTAACAGACAACGGTATTTCTGACCCCGGTCTCCTGCCGACTACGGTCCTTCCAACCTCCGTCGCCTACTATGGTCTTTCCGACCTCCATCCTATCGACTATGGTCGTGCCGACAAAACAAACACATCTATTGTAACTCCCATCATGTAATGCACTCTATATGATGTACATTTATGACATCAAGCTAAGGCCTTCTCCTAAGGAAGGGCCTCATTTGTAATCGACTATATATACTAGTGGACTCATTCAAACTAGGCAAGGCACTGTGGTTTTTCCCCCTTTTCAGGGGTTTCCATGTAAAAATTTTGGTTTCTCTTATGAACGCTACACCCTCTCTCTTATCTGCTTATGTGTTGGATCTTCATACAATGCTAAGATGTTAAATTATATATTTCTCTACCGTCAGGAATACTCCAGGACGCAACAATTTTAAATTATTATAAAAAAATTAATCTATATTAATTAAGCTCATAATCCTTAAGGCATTGCCAAATATATTCAATCATTATATAATAAAATTTAATTACAACACACCCATTAAGTTAATCATTGATTGTTGAAGATTGATAAATCTTAAAGAAAATAAAAAATATATTTCACAAATTACTAGATGATATCACATAATGTAGCCTATGCATGAAGTCCTAATAGTAAAAGATCAAGGGCAACCATTTGGATGAAACTCCAATCAGTGCAAGCTTTGATGATAAAATATATACAATCTTTACCCCTATAGTACAAAAAGAGTATAGACTTCAAAATTTTACATCTTGATTATGCTATGAGAGTATAGGTGTTTTATAGGTCTTATTTTTAGAAAGCATATTAAATTGAAGATAAAATATTACTCATACACTAGTCATTAGAAAGCATATCACTCATTTTGCGATAACTTCATAATTGGGTTCAATATTTCTAAATGACTCAACCTTTATAGTTAATTACCTCTTATGATGTTCGGAGACAACTTTCAATTAAAGTTAATCATTATAAGCTAAATGCTTAGTGTATAGTTGCAATTAATTTATGATTAAAATTTTATATCTTAAACTTAAAGTGAATGGTGGAGGGGGACAAACCTAATCAAAATCTCATGATTTTATCATCTAAGGTTATCATAGACCCTGGTATACTTAATCAATCGAGTAGTTGAACAAACTTAGAAGAATCCTTATCGATATCCATTAATTGTTTTAACCAAAAAAAAGCCTTTTAAACATGGGTGAATGTTTATCTAAGGGAATAATAGAGGCCTTATACTCTATCAAGTACATCCTATGATTTTTTTTTATTCATTGCTCAAGGAATTTTCAACAATTTGGGAACTTGCAAATTATATATGCGACCATAATTTAATCGTGCCATTTATGCCAAAACACTAGCACTCGTCATAATAGTTTACTTGTGATGTCATTTGGTGAAAAAATCATCAATTAAAAGACATGCCAAGTCCTTATTGGTGAGAATCTTTTGAAATTGGATTGTAATGATACACTCAAAAGAACATAAGCTATTTATCAATTAAAGTTATTCTCAACAAATAATTGATAAGAGTGAATACATTTTAATTTAATAAAAAGGGTTACACTCCCCTACAATCAATTTTTTTACTCAGCACAATCATTAGTAAAATAATTGAAAGATTTTAATTCATTATTTGAACCTTATCAACTCGACCTGCTTGCTAACAAAGGATTATACTCAAATATCAACTTTGTATCGATTACTGCAACTATAGTTCTCTTCATAAATTCCAAAGAAACATGAACAATACAGAAGAAAATAATAATAGCTAATCTATGGTTGAAATTACCACATGAAACCGAAGTAGTAGATTTAAACAATCCACAAGCTGCCACTTTATGAAAAGGAAAGGTGGTCTTGCTTTTGATAGAGATCATCTCCTCCTGATTGCTCCATAATTGCCAGATACCTGAAAAATTCAATTGCTCTGCGTTAATGCACATAAACTTAATACGAAAGAGTGTATTTACTTCTCGTTGATGCTTTTTCACTAGTACAAGTTATTGTAAAAGATACAACTAGTTCAAATTGTTCCAAGGCCCTTTAATTGTAGATAGAACACAAGTCTTAGAGAACCATAAAATTTGCTAAATATGGGTTTTAAACTCAATAAAATGCAATAATGATTTAGTTTTCACCTTCAAAGTGAATGGAAAACTTTCTAAAACTCAATTTATATGCGCAAGCAATCGAAAGGGGCATATACCAGACATGACTACAAAGATTCTTAATTACTTTTTCAGATACTAAATCAAATTAAGTAGGTAGGTCATATGATATATTCAATTCACATCCATTAGCATGATCTGGAATGCAGACCAGACCAGAACTTTGACTACCAGCTTATATGCACTGATTCGAAGAGAAGCATTGCATGGAATCTTCGAAGCAGCAAAACTGCTAAGGGTTTCATCAAGCAGATAGAATAGTATTGTAAGTTTCTGACAGCTTGAAACTTACCAGATGATTTAAAAAAATCTCTAAATCTAGACGCAACACAATGAAGAATAACAAATTTTAAGAACCATAACTCAAAAATGCTTTTTCAAGCACAGTGAGAGAAGAATCAGCAGTTTCCACTAAGCAGGAATTAGAGAAGTGAACCAGGAATTGCCAAGTGAAAAGTTTTTTGGAAGATTATAGCATGCCAAACATCCAAGAAATGTTACCTTCTATCGAACAGATTTTTAAGTATTAACAGACCCACAATTAAGTTCCAATTTTTCTAAAATCTAGAAATCATTTCCAAAGTTTTGCTGGAGGTCTTCCGGTATTGTGGACTGCTCCACATGACTAGCATTCCTTGGGTTGCTTTCACCATAAGGCAATATGCTGGGGAAATCTCCTCGATCACAGAGCAAAACTCCATACGTCTCAAAAGAGCAATAAGAAAGCACCCAGCACTATTGGGTATATCTTCTATAAACCCAATAGAAGTCGGTTTTGTCGGTTTGAGTGTTTATTGAACGAGAGATCTAATAGCAAGCTTTCAAAATGATATAAGATAGACGTGCTAATAAAGATTAGTTTGATGATTATAATGATGGAAGAGACCTATTTGCACCAAAAACAAAACATATGAATCTTTTATGAAATTTCAAAAGCATCAGGACCAAAGCACAATCTTGAAAAGTTCCCAAATACAATGAAATGAAAAATCAACAGCTCCAATTATGAGTACCTACCTAGTAGATATGAAGTGCAAAATTCTTTGAAGATTTCAGTTAAATTAATCTCAAGTAATGGAACATCGAAAAGAATTTAATGCAGAAAAAATAGTAGTTTGTTATTAGGTCCCTACAGTCCAACATCGGAAAGCATGCATATTGGAAATTCACTTTGAAAGTTATCTGCATGGCATTGCATACCCGAGCTTGAATTTCCTTTGGTTTATTTGACATGTCATCATCATCATCATCATCCTTACTCAAAAACATGCTACGGATTGAAGACATGTCTGACTTTCTTCCTCTTTTTGAAGTAGATGAAGCACCTCTCCCTCTCCCTCTTCCTCTAGGAGCCCCTCTTTTGCGAGTCTTCCCTTTAAAATTTTCTTCAGGTTCCTTCAAAGAAAGTGCAAACAAACACCACAAACCAGCTAATTTACCTCAGCACCACATAGCTTAGTAAATTTGATGCTAAATCTAAAGTGAAATACACTGTCAAGAGATAAGAACATACAGAACTCTCAACCGCTTCGTTTACTTCATACTTCCCTGTTTCTTCACTTGAAGGGGAATCCACCTCTTCATCAACCATAGAATGAACTACAGTCGATGCCGAGCCCGAAGCTGATCTGGATCATTATTGTGACACAATTACAAAACATCAAACAAGTTAATTAAAACATTCCCGTATAATCAACATGCACAGCACAGACCTAAGTAAATTGCTAGGAAACCTAACACTTGTAATATGAAGAGAAGAAACCTTCTATAAAGAAATCATGCATTTAACATGCATAAAACAAAGAATGATATAAAATACAAACGCAAAAAGTGAAAAAAAAAAAAGTAACCTCTCAGAATGTCGAGTTTTCAATGTTGCCTGCAGAGTCATCTGCTTTAAACTGCTTGAACCCCTTCCCCTGGCTCTCTTTGAAACTCCAGCTTGAGTGGGTTTAGGCACATCAGAAGTTCCTTTTCTTCCTCGTCCAACAGGCGTTGAGCTAGAGAGCATTTGCCCAGTGTCTTCTTCATCACTGAAGGAATTGGTACTTCTAGGAGCGGTCGTACTCCTAGATCTACCACCCTGCATATAGCAAATCCTTCATCTTAAACATGAAAATTAAATAAACGCCAAACCTCAGATCAGACATGCATCATCAATGAAGAATTAATGAATGCTCTATAACCAGTGGGTTCTGTGAGTTCGCTGTGATTCTAGTGTCTTCCTTTGAATGTAATGACCTTTGCTTTACACGTTCCTACAGCAGCAAAATGACGGGAGTAGTTTATCAGTGTCTTTCAAGAGAATAATCAACGAACTGGTATGATATAGTTCATGCCTGCATGGATTCGGTGACTTTTAGTATCAACTCTTCCTCTTCAAACTTCAAATTATCTGCTTCTGAGTTTAGTTTATTCTGAATTACGTAAAAGCAGTTAAAGCTGTAAGCAGTATCGGTTATAGGAATCCAGCAAAGCTATTAGATATAGTCATATAGATGAAGAATTATTTGAGCCTAGGTATATAGATTCGGAAAGATCCTTCAGAAACACTGACCCTTGTTTCCTGAAGATTGTTCTGCAAGCACGAATAAAATGCCATCTTGTCATCCTTGTTAACAAATTCATGTAATGCTATATCCAAATCATTAACTGGAAGGATCTCCATTTTCTGCACAAAAGAGAAGAAAATATCGACATCTTGTAACTACTGCAATATGGTAGTTAAAAGTTGAAATCAGATTATTTCAGAACCCAGGAAAACTATAGCGCAGAGCAAGAAGAGCCATGAAAACACAAGTTGCTCTTAAAATCAAGAGATTATTATAGTAAATCGGCCAAAATGGCACATTATTTTCGAAACTTGAAAACTATTCAATACCAAAAATTTCAGTTCAGCATAAAGTTTCTGATAAATGTGAGCTTCTTATACCACAATGTAGCAAATATCCTAGGACAGATTAAAACATCAGAGGTTTAGCAACATTTCAGTGATTAAAACGCTGCTCCTGTAGCATCTTACTTGAAGCACTTTCCACCTCTGAGATCAACGCCTCCATAAGAATTTATCTTTTAAATAGAATAAATGTTGACGAGTTTATGAATTTCAAATTAAACCCTGCCCACAAGTTTTTTAATAAATTTATATAGCATGCCCTATAGTAGAAATGATCCAAACGGATATAGTGTCATGTGGAAAATATGAACCAGACTACCAGATTACTTTCGGCTACAAGGGCCTCAATATTTTGTTGATTCAATTCCTCCGGACGAAGCTTCTCAGAGTCATCAATCTTATCTGCAATGGAGAATGGAGAAATATTTTAAGGTGATGGCGGATCAACATAATGTTGTGCAAATTAAAAAAAAACATTGCAGTTGTCATAAAAATTTAAATATCAAATGCACAGTTAGCAAAAAAACCTATATCCGACTAAAAGATAACAAGAACAGAGATATTTAACGAATACTTTATGACAAACAACATCATCATGCCACTCCTATCAAGGTCCAGGGTTTCCTAATGCAATGAATGAAATGCAGCTTGAGGGGGGGGGGGGGGGGGGGGGTTTTGGTTGGGAAGCAATGCAATTTTTATGAATTTTCTAATGAATATGTAAACAATGTAATGCAAACAAATGCACAAATGAGAATGCAAATATTCGCAAGTAAACAATTTAATATGTACAATCATCCAAATCAATGCGTAAAGTAATGGATCTGCATGGAAAGATTAGTCCATATGAATTTGATATCATATAAATAAACAAAACAGACAAATTTATTGCATAGCGAGAAGCTCAGATATTTCAAATTTAATTAAATCCAACAATACATTGCAACCACAATCAAAATTAAAAAGATAAATGATATAATCAAGTCTCACACCTTAACATGGATATTACATCCCATAAGAATTTTGAAGTAAAGATCTTCGAATTCAAAAGAGAATTCTTTATTCAATAGGTAAAATTATTTTTGAAGTTCTCCGACTCCTTATTAATATAAGGCTGTAGAGCAGCGAAATTTAACAGAAGAAAACAAAAAAATCAAGAATAAAGAACATTTCATGGCTATGGCTGACAAAATTAAAATGTAGTTCCTTGATATGCACCTTCAATTGACTCATCAAATGTACATCATACCAAAGTAGTACAATATAACATACCTTAAGGTACACAATCAAACGCTTGAATTTTAAGAAGTAAAGATATTTTACATTGTACCTTCCAATGATCTAGTAGTGATATACAATCTAAAGATGACCTTACCATCAATTCCAAAATCCAAAATAGAGATAAGTGATACTGAACATACCATACAATAGATGGTAAGCTCACATTAAAATGAACACGAATTGTAAGATACCATCAGCAAAAAATTCTTATAGACCATTACAATTCGAGAAAAAGATTAAAATGATCCTTTGACTCATTATAAAGGATCAAAATGATCCCTAACTATATTAAAATCACATTTTGATCCCTCAAGTCTTTAAAGTGTAACCAAAATAGTCCCATGATAGGACTACTTTGGTTCTTCTTTGATGAGCCAAAGGACTAAAATGATCATTTAATATAGTCTGAGACTATTTTGATCTTTCATAAAGATTCAAGGGATCATTTTGATCATTTTCTCATTACAATTCTATTAAAAACATGTACTCGAAACAAAAAGCAAACACATCTTAAAGAGGAAAGACCAACGCCATGTTTCCAATGAATTTAGACTTTTAGTTAGCATTATTACATAATGAAACATCATGCACAGGTTTGTAAAGAGGACAAAAAATTAACATCCATTTATAGCTAGAGGAATTAAAAACTTCTTAACTGATCTTGCTCATAGAAAAAATTACTTGGCAAAAGAAATATCAGACAATGAGAAGCATCGCATAAAAATGAACATAGTTAAGAAAGATAATCGTGTACTAAAGAAGTCAAATGATTGAATTCATTAACACATAGGGCTTAAGGTATAAGGAAACCAAAAAGGCATTTGAATTTTAACCATGCCATCGGCTAGGACAAGATTGTTTTTCTCCAGCCGAAAGTAAAATTGACTTAATATATATGCCAGATAATATGCGAACTGACTAGACAAAGTACGCTAGGTAGTCTTGGTTACATTAGGAGAAAAAAAAAAAGAAGGGAACTTCCAAATGTAAAGTAAAATAAAAGAAAATGTGGTAAAAGAATTTAAATTAATTACAGAAATCTTTGGAGCAACTTCTACATTTTTAACACTTGGCACAGAATTCCAAATTAATATAAAGATCACAAAAGGTATAATTCGCACCCTGCTCCTGCTGCAAGTGTAAGTAATTGCATTTAGATTATTCTAAAAGAGTCCTCTAGTCAAAATTACCTACCATTAATGAAATTCATAAATACTGGCATATGCAAAATTCAAGAAATTGCTATGAACAATGAGCCCAAAATCAATGGATAAGGTTTTCTGAGCACGTCATGTTGCATAAATATATAATCCAAGTCAACCATGAATAAATAAACTGCAACATATGATTTTCCACCTTCAAGAGATTGGCGTTTTTTTGCAGCCTTGGAGAAAATCAGAATATCCTGCGGATTAGCTACCTGCAGAAACGATAAATAAATGATTAAGAGTATGCTTTGGACAGCTGCAGCTCTCCACCATAAAAATTTCTGAAAAAACAGTAAGAAAACAGTAAAAAAGTAATAGCCAAACAAAATTATAGTTAGAGCAAAACAAAAAAAAAAGTTGTCCCAAAAAATAAACCCTAATAGTGCTAGTAAGCCATAATAAAATTTTAAGGAAACTAGCCATTGAGATTGCCACAATCTTCTGAGCACTAAATCATATGATTTGTTGATTAACGTGAAAAGTCAAATCACAAAATTTGTTCAATTGAAGTTTGGTGGTGATCATGAACATGCTTAATCTAATCACTAATGTGTTAGATATTAACCTTCTACGAAGGGAGTACAAAACATTGAAGCAGCCTTTTGTTACTTGACCGAGAACACACCCACTAGAGAGGTTTTGAGAGGTTTGTTGGAGTAAATCGAAAAGGAAAAACAACAAGGCTCCGCTGTTCATGATCGACATTGTTTTCATTTACCATAAATTGTTTTCAATGTTCCTTGAGTAGTGAGTTCAAGTTTGTTAAATGAGAAGGGAAAAGTGGGTGGGGGGGGG